CATAAAATAAGTAATAAAATTAGCGGGCATCGGTGGTGCACATCGGTAATCCTAGCTACATGGGAGGCTGAGGCAGAGAGAGAATCGCGTTGAATCGGAAGCAGAGCGGTGATGCAGTGAGCCGAGGGATCCGCACCGACTGCCACCCAGCCTGGGCGACCAGAGTGGAAGACCTGTTCTCAGCAAACATAGAAAAAAAAAACAATAAGACAAAAAAAGGCCAGGCCGCAGTGGCTCCACACCTGTAATTTGAACCCTTTGGGGGCTAAGGCCAGGCGGATACAGGTCAGTGATTCGCAGACCAGCCTGACCAACATTGTGAAACGCCGTCTCTACTAAAATACAAAAATGGCTGGGGTGTGTAGCGACGCATCATGTAATCCCAGCTACAAGGGAGGCTGAGGCAGGAAAATCGCTTGAACCCAGGAGGTAGAGGTTGCAGTGAGCCGAGATCACACCATTGCACTCCAGTGTGAGCAACAGAGCAAGACTCTGTCTGAAAAAAAGAATAAAAATAAAAATAAAAAAGTATTTGAGGCTGGGCGCAGTGGCTCATGCCTGTAATCCTGGCACTTTGGGAGGCTGAGTTGGGCAGATCACCTGAGGTCAGGAGTTTGAGACCAGCCTGGCCAACATGGTCTCTACTAAAAATAAAAAAGTTAGCTGGGTATGGTGGTGCGTGCCTGTAGTCCCAGCTATGTGGGAGGCTGAGGCAGGAGAATCGCTTGAACCCAGGAGGCAGAGGTTGCACTGAGCTGAGATGATGCCACTGCACTCCAGCCTGGGCGACAGGGTGAGATGCAGTCTCAGGAAAGAAAAAAAAAAAAAGCATTTGAAGTTACATGAGGAAAGAAGATAAGGAGCAGAATAACATGCATATAAACACAAGTATGTCAGAACGATTTGTCCACAAAAAAGAAAAAAAACCTTGTTTACAATCTCAAAACGAGATAAAAGGTTATAAGAAAATAAATTCAAAGCTTCTGAAAACTAAGACAAGCAATGTATCTTCAAAAGAGCAAAAATTAGACTGACAGCTTAAAAATGGAAGCCATAAGACAGTGATGGAATATCTTCCAGGTGCTGGGAAAAAACCAGCAGCCCAGACTCCCATACCCAGTGAAAATATCCTTCAAAGGTGAAGATGGAATAAAATATTTTTAGACAGACAAAATCTGAGAGAATTTCTCACCAGCAGACCTACCCGAAAGAAAATACTCTAGGACCTTCTAATGATAGGAGAAGGAAAATTATCACAGATAGAAACCTGGAGATGTGAGAAGAAAAAGGGCAACAGAAAGGGTAAATATTTGTTGTAATGTTGGGGCAAAAAAAGAAAAATAAATGAAAAAGGAAGAGTAAATAGGGTAAATATGTGAATAAATCTAAATAAATATTGGCTATACACAATGAAAATAATAGGCTGGGCACAGTGGCTCACGCCCGTAATCCCAGCACTTTGCGAGGCTGAAGCGGGTAGATACCTGAGGTCAGGAATTTGAGACCAGCCTGGCCAACATGATAAAACCTTGTCTCTACAAAAATACAAAAATTAGCCGGGTGTGGTGGCTCACACCTGTAATCCCAACTACTCAGGAGGCCGAGGCTTGAATCCAGGAGGTGGAGGTTGCAATGAGCTGAGATTCTGCCACTGCACTGCAGCCTGAGCGACAGAGTGAGACTCCGTCTCAAAAAATAAAATGAGAGTAATAATGCTTTATAGATTTAAAAATATACACAAAGAGAGGGAGATGGGCAGAGCTGAAGTATTCTAAGGACCCTGTCTTATCTAGGAAGGGGGTAAAAAACCAATTAACATTAGATTCTGGTAAGTTACAAACATACATTCATATTTGAATGAAAATACACATTCACATTTGTAACTTATCAGGGCAGTCAGTAAAGGAAGAGTAAAAGAGAATATAACTTCTAAGCTAACAGTGGAGAAGTCAATAAATATGCAATGAATTAAACAAAAAAGAATTCTGACAATAGCAATTTAGATCAATTTTCCCAATGAACAACAAAAAAAGCAGAGCAAAAAAAATTTATTTAACGCACTAAAGAGCTACCAAGGCAGTGAAGGATGACATGCCCAAGATCCAGGAGAAGAAGGTAAAATAGAGGTGAACGATGCCTAGCACTTGCAGCTGGGACGGGCTACAGCTGAAAACAAGGGGTTAACATGATCAGCTCTGCTGCCCTGCTTGCTTTTGGTCACTTGCTTGTTTTTTTTTTTTTTTTCTTTTTCTTTGAAGCTAAAGGCCACACCCACTGAACACTACAATTCTTTTCTTTTTTTTTTTTTTTTTTTTGAGACAGATCCTCTTTCTGTTGCTCAGGCTGGAGTGCAGTGGCACGATCTCGGCTCAATGCAACTTCCGCCTCCTGGGTTCAAGCAATTCTCCTGCTCCAGCCTCCCAAGTAGCTGGGATTACAGGCACCCGCCACCATGCCCGGCTGATTTCTTTGTATTTTTAGTAGAGACAAAGTTTCACCACGTTGGCCAGGTTGGTTTCAAACTCCTGACCTCAAGTAATCCGCCTGCCTTGGCCTCCCAAAGTGCTAGGATTACAGGTGGGAGCCACCATGTCCAGCCTGAACACTTAAACTTAACTTTCATTGGCTACTTTGTAGATAACATTCACAGGTCACCATGGCAATGGTCACTTCAGTTATTTTTCAGGAACCTGGGCCAGCTCCTGCCCAGTTCAAACTGATGGAGACCACCAACCCTTCAACTGGGCCTGTGAAGGAGCCCTAGAGGGTCTTTTGATGCTTGAGGGCCAAAAACTCCACCCTCAGATCATGTTAATGCCTCTATTTTCTGTACATGTGTTCTATGACACGCCATGAACCCTGACTACACTTGTACACAATGAATGTTACTTCATTATCCCCACTGCCAATCCACCTCAATCCACCCCACACCTTAAACCACCCCACTTCCCTAGCCCACAAATATCCCTAAGGCTTATCTTTCGGGAGGCCGGTTTGAGACCTGTTCTCCCACCTCCTCGCTCAGTGGCCTTGCAAGTAAGTTTTTTCTCTTTTGCAAAACCTGTGTCACAGTGATTGATTTACCACACATGGGCAGAATGGACCTAGACCTGGCCAGTAACATAGCCACATCAGGAGATTCACTGTAAACATACAAAAAGGAGAAGATGGAACAGCAGGGCCCCTCATAAAGTATACAAATAAAAGATTTCAGAAAACATACACAGGCCAGGTTTGCTTGAGAGACATTGAATGAAGGAGTCAGACTCAAAACATGAAACAGGAAAGATTATAGTAAGGGAAAGAAAAGGGGAAGAGGGGAGCAGGAGGGAACCCACGACATTTCAGTTTTTAAGTGCTTACACTCTCGAAGGCTGCCAATTCTCCTTTTGAAACATACCTTGCACTGGTCCCTTCTCTCCAGCTCCCCTGCCTTCTGTACGGGGACTCCTGTGACTCTCTGTTGCAGTCCACTCTCAGCACTGCAGCTAAAGCAATTATAACCCAAAACCACAGCAATGGGCAGCCTTGGTCTATACAAAATCAGGCTATGACAGAGGGATTTGCTGCTAAAATTTCACTGCCTTTGCTAAAGCCAATTTTTTCCACCAGGTTCTGCACTTGATCAAGCCAATCTGTCAGTCTGACCAGTGCCCTGAAAGAGCTCAATTACTTCTCTTGGGCAAACACTTTTCCCAAAGAGATCTTATCTATCCTGGTTTACTTAAGTATGGTTCTTTTTTATTCTTATTTTTATTTATGTATTTATTTGAGACAGTCTCACTCTGTTGCCCAGGCTAGAGTGCAATGGCACAATCTCGGTTCACCACAATCTCTGCCTCCGGTGTTCAAGTGGTTCTCCTGCCTCAGCCTCCCAATTAGCTGAGATTACAGGCATACGCCACCACGCTCAGCTAATTATCTTTTTTTTTTTTTTTTTTTGAGACAGAGTCTTGCTCTGTCACCCAGGCCGGAGTACAGTGGTGCAATTGCGGCTCACTGCAGGCTCCGCCTCCTGGGTTTACGCCATTCTCCTGCCTCAGCCTCCCGAGCAGCTGAAACTACAGGCACCCACCACCACACCTAATTTCTTTTTGTATTTTTAGTAGAGACGGGGTTTCACTGTGTTAGCCAGGATGGTCTCGATCTCCTGACCTCATGATCTGCCCACCTCAGCCTCCCAAAAGTGCTGGGATTATAGGCGTGAGCCACCGCGCCTGGCCTTTTTTTTTCTTTGAGGGACTTTCGCTCTTGTTGCCGAGGCTGGAGTGCAATGGCGTAATCTTGGCTCACTGCAACCTCTGACTCCTGGGTCCAAGCAGTTCTCCTGCCTCAGCCTCGCGAGTAGCTGGGATTACAGGCATGCGCCACCATGCCCGGCTAATTTCGTATTTTTAGTAGAGACATGCTGGTCAGGCTGGTCTCGAACTCCTGACCTCAGGTGACTCGCCCACCTCGGCCTCCCAAAGTGGTAGGATTACAGGCATGAGTCACCTGTGCCTCGCTGCGCAGCTAATTTTTGTAGAGACAGGGTTTCACCAGGTTGGCCAGGCTGGTCTTGAACTCCTAACCTCAGGTGATTCACCCGCCTCAGCCTCCCAAAGTGCTGGGTTTACAGGCATGAGCCACTGCGCCCTGCCTGATTCTTTCACTTGGTCACTTGCTTGTGATTTTTTTTTTCTTTCTTTCTTTTTCTTTGAAGCTGAAGGCCACAGTGGCTAAAGGCCAGGACATTGAACACTAAAACGTAACCTTCACTGGCTACTTTGTAGATAACATTCACAGCTCACCACTAATAAAGCTGCAGTCAACTAACAGGTATGAAGTTACCACTACCGTACATGGTTATATTAGGGACTGTTTCTGCCTACTGGATTCTGGGGAGGAACAAGGGAGGAATGTAACAGCACAAGCCATAATGAAGTTTATATACAGGCTTAAAATAAAAGAAAACCCTAGAATGAACTCAACAGAATTATGGTGTTCTGAGCTAATACTACCTGGCTTTAGAGGGAAATACTCTTCCAAAAGTCATTCGAATCCATAAATATAAGAACTTTCTGGCCACGCATCTGAAAGAAGGAAACAAAGGATATACATATTTTAAAATTCCATTTGGCTTACATCATCAGTTTTCTGGAAAGGAAAGGAAGCCTTTAAGGTCTCAGAGGGAGGGACGTTAGTATGAGTCAAAAGGTGGTATCATAGCTAATCTTGCATCAAACAGGGCATAGGATGGGGGAGATTTATAAAGCTAAAATCAAGCAGATTTTTTTAAAAAATATTTTCAATATAAATTGTCAATGAAGAGATAAAAACTTCAGAACTGAGGTACAGGAAGTACATCATAATTCTTTTGTTCATATTATTCTTCCTACCTAAAATGCCTGGCAAATGCCCACTAATCCTGAACCTTCTCCAATGTAAACAGAGTGAGTAGCTGTGTACTCTCAGTACTCTGTTCAAACCCCTCCTGTAATGTGACACCATATCACAGTGATCAGCTCACAGGGTGTCTGTCATTCCCTCTGCACTGTGAGCCCCTGAAAGCAGAAATTGGTGCTTTATAGTACCTTCAGTACCTAGCACAATGCCTGGTATACACACAAAGGTGGCTTGTCTTTTTTTATTTTGAGACAGCGTTTTGCTCTGTTGCCCAGGTTAGAGTGCAGTGGCGCAATCTCTGCTCACTGCAAGCTCCGCCTACCGGGTTCAAGCCATTCTCCTGCCTCAGCCTCCCGAGTAGCTGGGACTACACGTGCACACCGCCACGCCTGGCTAATTTTTTGTATTTTTAGCAGAGACGGGTTTCACCATGTTAGCCAGGACGGTCTCGATCTCCTGACCTTGGGATCCACCCGCCTTGGCCTCCCAAAGAGCTGGGATTACAGGCATGAGCCATCACGCCCGGCCTTGTCTCTTTTTTTTCTTTTTTTTTTTGAGATGGAGTCTCACTGTCGCCCAGGCTGGAGTGCAGTGGCGTGATCTTAGCTCACTGCAACCTCTGCCTCCTGGGTTCACACCATTCTCCTGCCTCAGCCTCTCAAGTAGCTGAGACTATAGGTGCCCACCACCACGCCCAGCTAATTTTTTGTATTTTTAGTAGAGATGGGGCTTCACCATGTTAGCCAGGATGGTCTCGATCTCCTGACCTCGTGATCCACCCCCCTCGGCCTCCCAAAGTGCTGGGATTACAGGCGTGAGCCACCGTGCCCGGCTGTATTTTTAGTGGAGATGAGGTCTCGAACTCCTGACCTCAGGTGATCCACCTGCCTCGGCCTCCCAAAGTGCTGGGATTATAGGTGTGAGCCACCGCACCAGGCCTGATAAATTTTTGAATTAAGAAATGCATGTCTTTAATATACCTAATCAAGAGTAGCAGAAGGGTTACAGCTCTTCTAGAATTCACCAGAAAATCCAGGGGGAAAAAAAAAGAGTAGCAAAAAAGAGTAGTTCCTTCTTTCTTGGACCACGTTTACACATTTAGACTTTTTCTGGAAGAATCTTGATAGCGTCATATTGCGAGGCACAAGTGGAGAAATGAAAACACTCAGTGACAGATTTTATGTCTGCAGATTCCTGAATATCCTTTTCATCTGAACATTCTACAATAAAGAAGAGGCATCAAGATCTCCAACTAATTGTGATGGGAGAATAAGAATCATTCCCTCATTTTAACCAAGTAGGCAGAACAAGAGAAAAGTATCCGTAGACTGGTGGCCACTCAAAAGCTCACCTGATGCGCAGTTCTCTTAACCGGCCCTGTCGGGTACAAGTATGTGTGCCACGATACTGCACTAGGTGACTGGTACTAGGTAACTCCCTCCGGATCCCAAAGGATGCAGAAGACTTCTTGTTGGACAGTGTCTTTGCAGAGTAAGGTTTCTTAACTGCACCATCCCTAAAATACCTTAAATGTGAGGAGGAAGGAGGCAAGGAGAGAATAAAGTTATCTCTGCATGTGATGCAAATACTTTTAACATACAAGCAAAATTAAACAGATAAGCTCATCAAGACTGACAATACCTATGCTTCAAAGATAATAAGCAGCCCAATCTGACAGAAATATTGGCCAGCCACTGGAGGTGGGTACTGCTGGGTCAGCTCTAGGCAGGAACTACAGAGCTGAGGGGTACCCCCTGGAGTCATCAGGCCTAACACAGTTTTCTTTTGTTTGAGACAGGTTCTCACTCTGCTCCCCAGGCTGGAATGCTGTGGCATGACCACAGCTCACTGCAGCCTTGACCTCCCAGGCTCAAGTGATCCTCTCATTTCAGCCTCCCAAGCAACTAGGCAACTAGGACCACAGGTGCTCACCAGTGTGTCCTGATAATTTTTTTTTTTTTTTTTAAGAGACAAGGTCTCACTGTGTTGCCCAGGCTGGTCTTGAACTCCCGGGCTCAAGGAATCCTCCCACCACATCCTCCTGAGTAGCTGAGACTACAGGCATGCACCACCATGATCAGCTAATTTTTTATTTTTATTATTTTTTTTGAGACAAGGTCTTATTCTGTCGCCCAGGTTGGAGTGCAGTGGCGTGATCTCGGCTCACTCAACCTCCACCTCCCGGGTTCAAGCGATTCTCCTGCCTCAGCCTCCCTAGTAGCTGGGACTACAGGCACCCACCACCACATCCGGCTAAGTTTTGTATTTTTAGTGGAGATAGGCTTTCACCATGTTGGCCAGGCTGGTCTTGAACTCCTGACCTCAGGTGATCCGCCCACCTCGGCCTCCCAAAGTGCTGGGATTACAGGCTTAAACCACCGTGCTCGGCCAATTTTTAATTTTTTAGAGACAGGGTCTCACTGTATTGCCCAGGCTAGTCTCAAACTCCTGGGCTCAAGTAATCCTCCTGCCTCAGCCCCCCAAAGTGGTGGTATTACAGACATGCACCACTGTATCTGGCCTGCTGGCCTGATTTCATTCTTCATCTCTTGCTTCAGAGTATCTGCACTGAGGCTAAAGCGCACGCACACACACACACATATATACACACACACACACACACACACATATATATACACATACACATACACACACATTTTAATATACTTTTTAAAAATTTTTATTTAATTTTTAATATTTAAAATTTTAATATTTTAATTTTAATATTTAATATTTTAATATTTAATTATATTTTTTAAAAAACAAAAAAATTTTGTTTTCTTGAAATAGAGTCTTGCTATGTTGCCTAGACTGGTCTTGAACTCCCGGGCTTAAGCAATCCTCTCAACTAAGCCTCCCAAAATGCTGAGATTACAGGTGTCAGCTACCACACTCAGACTCCTGGATTTTATTTTTTTAGAACAATTTGAAGTTTACTGCAAAATTGTGAAGAACGAACAGACTGTTCCCACATACCCCTTTTTCTTTACACACACACAGCTGTACATGCTAAAAAGAATATGTTTAAAGAAATGAAAGTCAAGCGTGAACATATTTGCAGGGCATGGGGTAACTATAAAAAGTAAGGTAGAAGCATTAATCACAACAGCCAAAAGGTAGAAGCAATCTAATTTTTTTTTTTTAAAGACAGGGTCTCGGCTGGGTACTATGGCTCACGTCTATAATCCCAGCACTTTGGGAGGCTGAGGCAGGAGGATCATCTGGGGTCAGGAGTTTCAGACCAGCCTGGCCAGCACGGCTAAATGCCATCTCTACTAAAAATACAAAAATCAGCCGGGTGTGGTGGCAGGTGCCTGTAATCCCAGCTACTTGGGAGGCTGAGGCAGGAGAATTGCTTGAAACCGGAAGGCCGAGATCATGCCACTGCAGTCCAGCCTGGTCAAAAAAAGCTGAACCCCGTGCAAAAAAAAAAAAAAAAAAAGGAAAGAAAGAAAAAAACAAAACTCCCCGATAGTTCCAACATAGGTATTGATGGCCAGGTGCGGTGGCTCACGCCTGTAATCACAGCACTTTGAGAGGCCAAGGTGGGTGGATCACCTGAGGTTAGGAATTTGAGACCAGCTTGGACAACATGGTGAAACCCTACTAAAAATACAAAAATTAGCCAGGTGTGGTGGCGCACACCTGTAGTCCCAGCTACTCGGGAGGCTGAGGCACGAGAATCGCTTGAACCCAAGGGGCAGAGGTTGCAGTGAGCTGAGATCTCACCATTGCACGCCAGCCTGGGCGACAGAGTGACACTCTGTTTCAATAACAATAAGAACGACAAAACATAGGTATTGATACGGTTTAGCTGTGCCCCCACCCAAATTGCATCTTCAATTGTAGGTCCCGTAAGACCCACGTGTTGTGGGAGGGACTTCACGGAAGGTGATGAGATTATGTGGGTAGTTCCCCCATGCTGTTCTCATGATAGTGAGTGAGTTCCCAAGAGATCTCATGGTTTTATGTGGGGCTTTCCCCCACTTCACTCTGCACTTTCTTTCCTGACGCCATGTGAGAAAGCACATGTTTGCTTCCCCTTCCACCATGATTGCAAGTTTCTTGAGGCCTCTCCAGAAATGCAGAACTGTGAGTCAATTAAACCTCCTTCCTTTATAAATTACTTATCTCAGATATTTCTTCATGGCAGCATGAGAACGATCTAATACAGGTATCTATATTTGAGTATGGTACCATTCACTGCTTTGCTTCTATAAAACTATCTTGTACTACTCCCAAAAAATAAAACTTAAATCTGATTAAGTCTCTAAATCCAGTTACCAATTTGCAGAAAAAGACTGAGAACAGAGGACAGAAGAACATGCTAAAATGCACACAGGCCCTATCAAAATACCAGTGACATTATTCACATAAATAGGAAAAATATCTTAAAAATTGTATAGGACCACAGAAGACTCCAACTAGCCAAAGCGATCCTGAGCAAAAAGAACAAAGCTGGAGGCATCACATCACCAGACTTCAAAATAAACCACAAAGCTGCAGTAACCAAAACAGCATGGTACTGGCATAAAGACAGACACACAGGCCAATGGAACAGAACAGAGTATCAAGTTATTAAGCTACTTTATCTACCTACCTACCTACCTACCTACCTACCTACCTAAGACACAGTCTCATTCTGTTGCCCCACTGGAGTATAGTGATGCAATCACGGCTCACTGCATCCTCAACCTCCCAGATTCAGGTGATCTTCCTTCCCACCTCAGCCTCCTGAGGAGCTGCAACTACAAGGGCATGCTACCAGCTGGCTAATTTTTTGTAGAGATGGGGTTTTGCCACATTGCGCAGGATGGTCTTGAACTCCTAGGCTCAAGTGATCCACCTGTCCTGGAGTCCCAAAGTGCTGAGATTACAGGTGTGAGCCATCACACCCAGTGCCAATTTATTTTTGACAAAGGGTCCAAGAACACTGGGGAAAGGACACCCTCTTTAATAAATGGTGCTGGGAAAAGTGAGTATCTACACACAGAAAAATGAAACCAGGCCCCTTACCTCTCACCCTATACAATATCAACTCAAAATGGATCAAAGACCTAAATGTAAGACCCAAAACTAGAAAGCTATGAGAAGAAATACTTCAAAAGTCTAGGAAAATATTTTACGAATAAAACATCAAAAGCACAGGCAACAAAACCAAAAATAAACAAATAGGATAATCTCAAGCTTAAAAGCTTCTGCTCAGCAAACAATCTACAAGTAAAAAGACAACCTATAGAATGGGATTACAGGCCGGGCATAGTGGCCCATGCCTGTAATCCCAGCAGTTTGGGAGGCCAAGGCAGTCAGATCACTTGAGATCAGGAGTTCAAGACCAGCCTGACCAACATGGTGAAACCCCATCTCTACTAAAAATACAAAATTAGCTGGGCATGGTGGCGCACACCTGTAATCCCAGTTACTCGGGAGGCTGAGGCAGGAGAATCGCTTGAACCTGGGAGGTGGTGGTTGCAGTGAGCCAAGATTGCACCACTGCACTCCTGACTAGGTGATAGAGTAAGACTCCATCTCAAAAAAAAAAAAAGAATGGGATTACAAATATTACAAAAAATATGTGCAAACTATCTGACAGGGGGTTAATACGCAGAATATACAAAGAACTCAAATATCTCAACAGCAAAAAACAAACAAAAAATCCAATTAAAAAAGGGGCAACTTTGGGAAGCTGAGGCGGGCAGATGGCTTCAGTCCAGGAATTTAACATCAGCCTGGGCAACATGGTGAAATCCTGTCTCTACACAAAATTAGCCAAGCATGGTGGTGTGTGCCTGGAGTCCCAGCTACTCTGGAGGCTGCACTGAGAGGATGGCTTGAGCCTGGGAGGCAGAGGTTTCAGTGAGCTGAGATCCCACCACTGTACTCCAGCCTGGGTGACAGAGTGAGATCTGTCTCAAAAAAAAAAAGTAGGGGGAGCAAATTCTCTGAATAGACATTTCTCAAAAGAAGACATACAAATGGCTAACAAATATATGAAAAAATGCTCAACATCACTATCAGGAAAATGTAAATGAAAATCACAATGAGGTGTCATCTTACTCGTTAGGTAGGTGGCTATTGTCAAAAAGACAAAAAAAAAAAAAAAAACATGCTGGCAAGGAAGCAGAGAAAAAGGAACACTTTTTAATTTTATTTTTATTTTTATTGAGATAGAATCTCACTGTTGCCCAGGCTGGAGTGCAATGGTGCCATCTCAGCTCACTGCAACCTCCTAGGTTCAAGCAATTCTTCTGCCTCAATCTCCCAAGTAGGTGGGACTACAGGTGCGCACCACCAAGCCCGGCTAACTTTTGTATCATTAGTAGAGACAGGGTTTCACCATATTGGCCAGGCTAGTCTCGAATTCCTGACCTTGTGATCCGCCCACTTCGGCATCCCAAAGTGGTAGGATTACAGGTGTGAGCCACCGTGCCCGGCTGAAAAGGGAACACTTATATACTGTAGGTGAGAATGTAAACTAGTATAGCCACTATGGAGAACAGTATGGAGGTTCCTCAAAAAACTACA